AAAAAAAAAAAAAGAAGAAATAAAACGGCTGCCTACGCGTTAGTACCTTCCTTAGGTCTCCCAGTCACTGCTTAATCTAATCCCCCACGGCTGTCGTCAGTGGAAGTCAGGGGAGAAGCTCTTCTTTTGCGTATCTTTCGCAAAGATTTCAGGCAAGGGTACCACTCATGGCAGTGCTGTGCCCACCAGCTGCCGGAACCACGCCATCCACTGCCTGCACACTCTGCCTGCGTGGGCTGGGGGCTGCAGGTGGTCCTTTGGCGCTGGCCTCCGGTGACTCTGCCCAACCAGGGGGAGGGGCGGGGAGCCTCTTCTCCCAAAGGCTGCAGCAGAGGTGTTCCCGACCCTGTTTGTCCACACACCTTCCTATCCCCTCCTGCTGGCGAGGTAGCCAACACCATGCAGAAATCCTGTAGCCAGTCTCCCCGATGACAACCCTTCTGCTAATTCTTCCAAGGTTCCTCCTGGTCTTAACAATGATTAATGCGTCTGCTAGATCAGTGCTTACACTCCAAACTACTTCCTTTGAGACTTTGAAATAACTAAAGACTCCACTTATACCAAATATCACCAAGAGAAAAGCTTTCCAGTGATTTTAAACAGAGAAAGCCCATCAGGCGCCTTCCCTGCCTGCTTGTGGTTCTTCCTCTCCTCGCTCCCATAGTCTCCTGCTCACCTCTGTCCTCTCCCTCCTGTCTTCCTGTTCCCTCCTCCCTGCCACCTGGATGACAGCCTCCCTCTTTGCACCCTGCTTTCTGTGATCCCCCCCTCTGCTCATCCCCTCTCTGGTCCTGGTCACATGGATACAGAGTCCGCAGGAGATTAAAGGGCTGGGTGAGAACAGAGAGGGTCCACCAATTGCTCTTTGCTTTGGGGAGGGCCCCCCAAGGAGGGGGAGTGGTGGCTGGAGATCTGTAGAAGTCCAAGTTCAAAGCCTTGGAGGAAGACAAGCACCCCTCCCCCACTCTGCTCCCTCATAAACTTGGTGTCCTATGAGTTGCTTCTTTACCGTCAAAAATTAAAATGGAGGTCTTGACTCAATTCATGTTTTGATCCTATTCATTTTCCTTAAATCTTTGTCATCTGTTATTCGCCAGCTAGCAAGGAGCAGAGTGGCCGGGTCCCCAGCCTGTCCCTGGCTCATTCTGCTGACTCAGCTGGATTTTCATGGAATTTATCTGCAGTCCCTGCTGCTGTAGCTAAAACCTGGTCCAACATACAGACCCCAAATTGGGGATCCTAGTGCCAGTATGCCCCATCTTATTCCTGTCCTCTGGCTCCGAGGACACACACACACAAAGTGCCCCCCCCCACACACACACACAGCTCCTTGCACCCTCCAGCCTCACTCACCCTCTCCCCAGGGTGGGTGCCTCCTGCCTGGGAACCAGGCTGCCCTCGAGCTGAGGAGTGTGCTTGGATGGAGAAGCCAAGCTCTCAGATAAAAAGAAAGAAAACCCTGCTGCTCTACCTTGACCTCTGTCATACCTCTTCCTCTTTGTCCCACCCTCTGAATTCTATCATCACTGGCAGAATCCAGGCAGAGCATCCTGAATTAGATGGCCCCTGGTGTACACAGGGATGGCTGGGCGTGTCTGTCCCCCGAGGCAGGCAGGGTCCCTTGAGTTGGAGGTAGCACCCCACCATGGCCTCTGCTCATCCAGTCTGCATGCCCCACTGGAAACCTGTAGTTAGCAGGGGCACTTCTCAGTGCAGAGAGCAAAGGGGACCATTGCCTAGCGCTTTCCAAAAAGTACTGAGATGGTTTCTGAGCAACTGAGCCCAAGAATGTGTTGCAGCCACCTGGGAAAGGCGGAAGGTGCTAGAAGGATGTCTGATGAGCTGGTGCCCCACCAGACAGTGCCACGGGAGCACCGGAGGTTCTGGCTGTTCTCGGGGTCTGCTTCCAGACTTTGGGACTCACAGAGAGAGCCGAGGACCAGAAGTCAGGCGCTCTGGCTCCTAGGCCAGAGTTGCTTCTGTGGCTCTCCAAGGTTCTGTCAGATAACACAAGGGGCGTGGCCCAGTCCTCACACCCACGGAAGGCCCTAGCCCTGGAGAGGCCACATCCCGCACGCTGCCCCACCTGCTACTTACCATCCGCTTCATCTCCTTGGACACCTGGTTGCCCCCTAGGTGGTTGTAGAAGGGACGCTCGGCCCCCCAGTGGGGCGGGTTGTGCCCAATGGAGTTGGTTCTCTGGCGATTCATCTTGGCGATCATGGCCTTTTCTTCTTTCTAGGAGAGTAAAACATACGCATCAGCCTGTGGGCAGAGCCTACCAGGTGAGCCCAAGTGGGGAATTTCTCACCCCTCCTGGGTGCCTGGCCATGTAGGAGTTAAGGCAGGTGTCCCTCTTTTCTGTGCACAGCCTGGAGCCTAGAGTCTGCCGGGATCCTGGAGCTCACTGCGGGAAGCATCCTCAATCCCTTCACACTCCCCAACGCTAGCGCTGGCCGGCCTAGGTGGGAGGTTGGTCTTTTGAGAAAGCAAAGGGGTGTGGGGACAACTGTCATTGTCACAGAATTCTTCAGGGGTGCGCAGAGCCCGGGTCTGAGGCGCCGGGGTAAAGGCAGGTAAAGGATTCCAGTCTCCACTCGACTTATCCCAAACAGGCATATTCTACCAAAGAGGCAGCTTCTGGAGGTTTGGGTCACTAGAACTTGAGAGGCAAAGGCCGATATACATTGTACAAATACACAAGTGGGGCCTCAGCTGGCTCCCTGTATGCCACCCACGATCTCTGTCTGTCTGTCCATCCATCCAAATGGGCTCCAGGAGGAAGGTTGGAGAGGCCCTGGGGAGACCTGAGGCAGCCTTCCCCTCAACTCCCTCTCTGAGCCTGGGAAGGGAGCCGGTCGGATCAGGGACACAGAGGGGAGGGGACACAGCCTGCTTCAGCTGACACAGCTCCGGGTGGGGTGAGCGTATGGGGTGTCACTCTCTATCTCCATTTCATCTTGCTGGACCACCTGTCAGAAGAACAGGACCCAGAGAACCCAGGGTAGAAGGTGAGCTCTCAGCCTGAGTGGGGCAGGAAGGGGGGGCTGAAGACCCTGTCACCTTGACAGAGGGGAGGGTGTGGGAGGGCCTGGGAGGAAGTCAGTTCACTTATATGCTAATCAAAGAGCAAGCAAAATGTGTTCAAAAATGTGTCAAATAAGCCACTAGGCAAGCTCCCCAGGGTGTCTAAATGCTCCCATCCCTCTCTGCGGTCTGTGGGGGGCCCGACACAGCTCCCACGCTGTTGCGGCAAGTGAGGTTCCCCTGTGATGTCTTTGTCAGGGTGGACACCTGCCCCCAAGGAGCCCCCACATCTACCTTTGCTGTCACCCAAGACTCTCTCTGGACTTTTCTCCCAGCTTAATTTTATCTTTAATCTAACTTCTTAAGAAAGAAAGAGGGAAGCTTTTCTCTATCAAAGGCTGCTGACCAACAGGTCAATGCAATGGAAAGATTCATCAGTAAAAAGCTTTTTAATCTAGGGAGAAATAGAAAATGTTCTCTTCATTCACTTTAAAAATTAAGAACATGGAACATGACACTATTAAAAATAGAATGCCAAAGTCTGCTAATAATTCAGTTTTATATTTGGGCAAGTGTGGGCTGGGACAAAGGGAGGGAGGAGAAAGGGACTAGAAGGTGAAACCGGGGAAGGACGGTGAACTGGAGAAATGAAGGTGTGTAGGGACTGGCAAAGACACGTGGGACACAGAGAGGCAGAGAAGGGCCCAGTGTCCGCCTGGTTCAGGCAACAGACAAGGAGCAGGGAGGACACGAAACAAACGGTTGGACAGAGAGTAGACGGTGGACAGAGTCCTTGCTGTTTCATGTCCATGCCCGGCCTGTGGCTGTGCTGTGGCTAACTGATTTGAGGCCTGTTGCGTTTCTGCAACGGAGGCATAACATTCCTGCTTTTGCTGTCAGCCTTTGCAAGTCCTCCGTAAAGCTCATGAGCTTCCTGGGAAGCAGGAACCACACTGCATGAGGAATTCACGACTTGACTCAAGGAAAGAGTGAGAAGAGAAGGAAGTGGATGCCAAGAAACATTCCTCCCTGGAAGAATAAGGCCCTGCAGCCCCCCGGGTTCTCCCACACCCGCCCAGCGCCCCGGCCGGACCCGCTTCTGGGTGCAGCGCAGGATCAGGAAGGTCTCGATACTGTGCTCCTTGAGGTAGGCGTTGCGCTCGCCCCCGCAGCCTGGCTCCACCTCGTAGTCACCATTCAGGTAGTTGAGTGTGGCCTTGGTGATGTGGATGCGCCTGCAGCGGGGAGAAGGGGAGGGACGTGGGGAGAGGAGTGCAGAGAACAGGACTTCAGAACTCCAGCCTTCATGCACAACCACACTGTGACCCACTTGGACACAGTTCAAATCCCACAGCCCCACACTCTGGCTCAAAGGCTAACCCCAACCTAGATCCCGACCTAGATCTCAATGTGCTGGATCCCTCCGCTGTCATCATCATGGTGGCTTGGGTAGGGCCCTTCCGGGCTCACGGCCACACGGCCACCCTGACCACACAACATCGCACTGAAGTTCTAGCATCGTCAGAGCAGAAAACATCTTTGGCCCGTCAGGAGGACACCGCCTCAGTCCCACAAACTTTGCAAACCTGCTCAGAAGCCAGCAGTGGCTCCGGCTGAGTACAGGACTGAGTCCAGATCCCCCAGCCTGGCACAGAGGTCCTTTTAATACAGGCACTGTTCCTCCCACCGGTCCCTAAGAGGTCACGTGCTCTACTTCCATTCCTCAGAAACACCACGTTTCGTATACCTGTGCCTGTCCTCACCTTGGTCCCTCGGTCTGGCTCTCTCCTCACCTCACCTTCCTCACCTGTCTGAATCCTGCCCAGTCGTCCAGGCCCATGTCCCACTTCCTTCTCATCCTGGCTACCCCGAAATTACCCATGGTTCCTCCCTCCTCCAGAACTCTACCCCCACCTATTGCATCACACAACAAGCTGCCCTGTTTTGTGCAAATATCTTCTGGGTAAAGTCTGGGCAAAGGTTGAGAGGATGCTCCCTACAACTTGCCAGCGTGTGGTGCAAGTAATTTGTTAAGGAGAGGAATTTCTATTTAAATTCTGCCAACCCGGAGTTGCAAGTTACCCCATCCTGCCCACCCCAGCCCCATTCCTCACAACAGTCATCCGGCGGGGAGGGGGGCGGGCAGGAAGCTAAGTCTGGGCCCTCACTCACCCTGCCTTGCCTCCAGCTTCCATGTGGTTGGCCAGCGTGACGTCATTAGACCAGACGTCGAACTGCCACTTCCTGAGACCAAGGACACCGCAGTGTACTCGCCCGCTGTGAATTCCCACGCGCATGTTCACGTTCACCCCTGTCACCTCCCGGACCAACCTGGGGATGGAGCAGGGGTAAGGCTGGGAGAGGGTCAGGGGCCAGGCGCACAGAGTGGGGGCGAGGCTGGAAGGCACGGGGTCAGGGGTGTGACAGAAGGTGCAGGGGTCAAAGAGTCATTTCTCTCTGGTCCAGCCCAAATCCAGAGTCTGAGACTGTTCCACCTGATGGACAGGGGCTGGGCCCTGGTACTCAGGTGCCGTAGGCAGTGAGGCATCGCTTCCCGGTGTGGCCACAAGGGAGCACAGTGCCTCACACTACAACCCAGACCCCACTGCTTCCCCAGGAAGGCACCTTGGGCCTCTGCTACCCTCAGTCAGTTCAACTGTATTCTGAGGATGCAAATGCATACTAGTGCCCACTCGAGCCAAACAGGGAAGTTACAGCTGCTCCAAACCCCATTCATATAATGCTCAGAATTGTCCACATTGCAGCTTCATGGATGTTAGCAGCATAATGGAGCAAGGTGGTTAACTGACCAGGGAGGTTCCCCGTGTGAGAAGCAGCACCAGCTCCCACCACATGCACCACACCCAGGGCTGAGGGTGCCCCCAGGACATGGGTGGGCTCTCTGTGGGCTGGAGCGTATGATAGAAGCTGTATTGCTCTGGGTATGCGTGTGAGGCACGGGGTATGCAGAAGAGGGTGCAGGTGCTTGCGGGGGAGGTACACAGTGTGTGCTCTTCGGGGACCGGCATGCTCTCCGATACCCTGGGACAGGCGACACACGACACAGGGAAGAGTTACGTCATTCATCGTTTCTCTTGTCCCGGGACACCCCTGCTGGAATGTGCCTTCCATCCACAGTGCCTTGGGCCCCTTGCTTAGGTTGAGGATATCTCAGCCTTAGGTTGATAATAACTTTCTGGCTTTACGCCAGGGCCACATCCTTCATGAAGCCTCTCTTGGTCCTCCCAATGGAAACAAATGTCCCCTCCTGCCCCCCACCCCCATCTCAGTCTGCCTCTCTCACCTGGTGCCGTCCGCTCCGCATGCCTGGTGTCACAGCAGCGGGAGTCCCGGCCTCTCCCTCAACAGACTCCGTGCTTCCAGGCGAGGGCTCGAGGCACTAGCTAGCCCAGGCATGCAGGGGCACTCAGCAAGCACTGCCCAAAGGAGCTCCGCCAAACCCAGTGGAGCCGGTCGCCTTCCTGGACAGCTACTCTGCCCTCTGCCCTTGTCCGCTGCGGCTCTTCCTTTGCCCCTGCCCAGGCTACTTTTGAAGCTCAGTTACTGAGCCTAAGCTGGCATTATCTCCACATCTTTTAATAACCGCGGCCCCTCCTCTGGCCAGCAGTGACCAAGAATTGGCCAAAGATCCTTTTTGCTATTGCTCCCACGAAGGATGGATTTTCTTATATGCGGACACCTGCATTTGCATCCACCTGCCAGACTGTATTACCCTAGGGAGATGTTTAACCTCCGTGCTTCCAACCTTTCTCGATGGGGAAGAAATGGGGCCCGTGGGCTCTACACCTGGCTGGGTGGCCGTGGGACCTGAGAGGCGAGGGAGCAATGCATAGGGCACAGCGTGACGGCCAGCTTGTCCTCCTCTCCTGCAGAGGTGGGGCCACACCTCCCACTGCCCTGGAGTCTGCAAAGTTCTCCCTTCCTACAGGACACGTTCCTCTGGGAAAAGCTTCCCGGCTGCTGCAGGTAGAAGTTGCCCAGGAGAAGGCTCTAAGCCTAGAGGTGCAAATCAACCCTCCAGTATCAGGTACTCAGGCTGTGGGACGGTCCCCTCCCAGATGGGCACTTACGAGATGGCCTCAATCATGTCCATGCCCATCTCCACGCAGCAGTGGGCGTGGTCAGCCCTCGCTTCCGGCAGCCCAGAGACACAGTAATAACAATCCCCCAGGATCTTAATACGTAAACAGTGATTCTCCTGGAAAGCAAATTAATTTTAAAAATTAAAAATAGTAGGAAAGAGAAGCGGGAGGAAAAGAAACGGGAAGCAAACAGATTCACCCCGTGCCTGGAATAACTTGCCTTTTAGGGCAGTGAGCACAGACCCAGTGCCGGCAGATGCATGGCCCTGGCCGGTCCCAGGACGGGCTTATCAGGAGCCGAGGGGGGAGGATGGAGGACAGGCTGAGCAGCGCTCAGGCATTCCATCCTCCCCAGGCTCAGGAACTCACTTTTATGGTCACTGCTGGGACCCAAGAAGCAAGCAGTTGGTCCGATGTCGGAGCAAATAGGGCAGACTTATCAATTCGAGGAAGGCCCAAGTTGAGAGTCAATGTCCCTGGGTCCGCTCCCAGGCCCTGGAGAAAGCTCTGACTCTTGGCCTAAGGCTCTACAAACAGTTCTCTGATTCTCCTTCTTTTACAAAAAGACTGAAGCAGGAATGAGGCTTAACCAAAGCTCGTCTGCCCCTCAGCCTGTCTGAGACTTTGACCAAATAGCGCGCTGGTAACCAGAAAGCGTGTGAGTGCTAAGACCCCCCCAGAGCTGAGGTACCTGCCCACTGCTGTGCCTGAGGAGAGGAACGGGCACAGCTGGGGTCACCGTGCGGGTCACAACTGAGCCAGGACTGGGACTGGGATGGGATGTCACTAGTCACCAATTAGCTCTCCAAGTCTGGCCCCCAGGAGTTACTTCACGAAGTAGGACACTGGGACTCAAGTGTCCGCATGGCCCGGATTCTCATTTAAGGCCCATCCACTGCCCGAGGGCCCAGCATACACCCAACTCCCCTCACCCATGGTCAGTGATAAAACCCCCCAGGCAGGTGTGCGACCCGCCATCTAATGCCCTTGGAGGCCCTGGCGCCACCTCTGACTGGCACCAGCCTCTCATCAATGATCTGATGTCCTGTGAGGGCCAAAGGGAACATGTATGCCTGTCGGTGGACATTGCAGTGAGCAGCCCCTGACATGTAGTGACCCGACAAAGGCCCAGGGCATCACTCAAAGACACAAAAGCTGGAGAGGATGACAGTATAAACAGGGACCAAATGGGTAAATGTGTCATCTACCACTCCACGCCCTGGGATGCTACTTCCAATTTGTGCAAACAGCGCAGAGTCCTCCTTCTGGAAGCCTCGGGGGGGTGGCGCACAGCTGTCTGCAGACCAGCTGGGACTCAGACTCATTCTCTTACCAGTCGGGCCCAGCTCATCAAGAAAATGGCTCCATGGGCACCGAAGCTGCCCCACCGAACCGCAATTCCTCAGGGGCCTGGGCAGTGTCACCTGCAGCCCTTCCCACGCCCTTCCTCAGGTGGAGGGCTCCCTCACTTGCTCCCTCGTGAGCAATGACAGCATAAAAACACGTCCAACTGCGTGCGGTGTGAGGACACACAACCAGAGCTGCTGTGCAGCCCCTCCGCGCAGCAGGGCACATGCTGGCCCAGGGCCCGTCCCTGGGGCTCACGGGGCCTCAGCCGCAGCGCTCTCTCTCGGGCGGCCCAGACGGAGCCCTGGGCGCCGAGGACGGCAGGGAGGGTGACTCACCGCGGCCAGCTTGTCGAAGCGGGCGAAGAGCTCGTTGAGGGTCATGACCAGCTCCTGGGCAGTGCACTGGGATGCCAGGCTGGTGAAGCCCTCGATGTCAGCAAACAGGATGCTGGGGAGACAGGTGGAGGAAGACCCCCATGAGGGAGGAAGGTCACCACCCTGAGCCTTAGGAGGGCTGCTGGCCAGCAAGAGTCCTGGGGAGGGGGGGCTCCAAATGGCTGCTGGGGAGGGCATAAAGGGTCCCTGGCACTGGAGAGTCGAGGATGCTGGCCTCACCATCTGGCCAGGAGACGCCTTCTGTGCTCTCACTGTGCCCTCACTCCTGCCCAAGATGGGGACAGCGGCTGGGGGGCGGGGTGCGCGCACAGAGGCACATGAGGCCTGGGAGTGTGCACCTGCCTGAGTTACCAAAGACAGGGGCCTGTCCCTGCCATTTCTGTCCCCTCTTGGGCCTGCCTTGTTTGACTCCTGAGCAGCCCCCTCAAGATAGCTGCGGCCTTTGATTCATGGGCTTGGAAAGTGTTTCAGGCCCCAGTGGCAACCATACTAAGGTCTTACTTCCGAGCCCCACAGATAAGGTTTCGGACCCAAGCCCTCCATCCCTAGGGAGTCTCTAGAAGGGACAGACTAAAGAGGCTCAGGGAGGAGAGAGAGAGGAAGACCCAGCCAACAAGCATGTCTGGAAGCTTCCTAAGTTGTCCCTGCCAGCAACATCAGCCTCATCCCCAGGCACGTAGTCAAACAGAGCAGCTGGTGCTCGCACTATGCACTGTGGATCTTCTGTCCGTCTCTGTGGCTTGTGTTCCGGAGACTGAAACCGTCTTCCTTTTCTTTCACAACACACCGTTAGAGGTGAGGCCCCAGGGCTGGAGTGTGGAAGGGCCCCTGGAGTTTTTTTCTTTAAATGGTCACAAAAATGTAGTAACTCTCGTGTCCGGAGAGGCTCCCGGTGGCCTGGCTCAGGGCTGGGGGCTTCCAAACTGTCTTCTCGCTGAGTGCTCCATGCGGCCCTGCAGCAAAGCCTCGCGTCTCCTCACAGACGGGGCGGCTGAGCCTCAGGGAAGAAGCTGCAGATGGCAGCATGGTGGGCTCCTTCTCCCAGGCTCGTGTTCTTCCCACTATTCCACAAGGCTCCTGAGGCTCCAGATAGTCTTCCTTTTTTAAATTAGGAATGTAGAACTAAACATAGTTTGTCATTTTATCTGGAAAATGTGTACTGGTGCATTAAGCCTGTCTTTCTCTTCTGATGTTTGACACCTGGGGCCTTACTGACCCTGGGGAACCTGTCAGCCCCAGGCTGGCTGGGTCTTAGAGTTAGTCAACAGCTTGCCTTAGGGTCCAGAGCCCCACAGCCCAGCCAGGCTCTCACACTCAGGCCATGAATCCCCTGCCCCAATCACCCCAGGGACCGGTACCAGACTCGGGACAGTCCCTACCCCCCAGAGCCCACTGAAACGATTCAAGCCCATCCCAAGCCGGCTTACCCTGCCTCACCCACTCCTTCCGGCAGAAACCCCAGTAAAGGCTCTCATCCCCAAACCCCTCTCCTCTGCCTCCTGACACACTGGAGCAGCGCTTCCCCACGGGGCCCCACGGTGTGGCGGGCTCCCTTCCCCCGGGATGAGTAACAAAGGATATTTTCAATAGCAGCTGTCTCCTCACCTACTGGCCTTTGCGTACCTGGATAATAAAACTTGCCTTTTAAAACAGTTGGACACTGTCCTGTGCCCTTTATGTGTATGAACTCACCTAAACATCACGACCACCCCATGAGGTCAGAATCCTTTTACAGGGGAGAAAACGGGAGGCACAGAGAAGATACGTCACGTGCCCAAGGCCACATGGGCAACCTGGCTTCATGGCCCAGGAGTTGACCCAATAAATATTAAGCTGGTGGCCCCAGAGCCATCTTAAGTGAATACAAGCATAATACAGGGGTCTGGCATTGTAAATGGGGCAGAGGGAGGCGGAAGGGCATGTACGGGCCGCCAGGACTCCATCAAGAGAGGGCACACTCAGCAGCTGCCTGCCAGCTCACACAAGGGAAGGTGCAAACAGACAAGCCAAATGAGGGGAAAGAAGAAAAGCGGAGGAGGAGGAGGAGGAGTGGAGAGGAGAGATGCTGCCCCGGCAGGCCACAGGACTCGGGAAAGAAGACAAGCTGCTCCGGAGTGGGCAGCTAGGCGGGCAGGGGCGCAGAAGATGCAAGGCAGTCAGGAGTCTCCATCAGACCTCCACTGATGCCTAGGGTCTGACCGGGCAGTACCCCGCCCGAGGGGACTGCATGGCGTCTGCATGCTGGGTTAGAAGAGCAGATGAGGGGAGGCTGCCATGCCTCAGATGCTGATCTCAGCTCCCGAACTAACTAGGTGCAGCCCCCTCCCCACCCACCTGCCACCTCTCCGCCTGTCAGTCTTGCAGGCAACTGGCCCACTCCACTTAGGAACAAGAGAAAGTTCTCCCCCAGTCTATGTAAAAGCACCACCATATAGTTGTTCTGGAAATTCTTCTTTAACTCTCAGGAAACCAAAGCTAGTTCAGGTTGGGGTCAAAATCCACGGCTCCAGAATTAAGAAAGATTCATTCGGCTAGGGTCAGTATCTGGAATGCAAAGCCAGCAGATAACAGGCCCAGCGGCTATTCCATGCTAAGTCCAAAGTTACACAGCGGAAGGCTGGCTTTGGGGGCTGGTGAGACCCCAAAATCCCTGAACCCAGCTTGGCAGGATGACTACTGGGTCCGGTAACCCATGGCAGCGGGCTGAGGAGAAACGGGGGGAGGAAGGAGAGACACGAGCGTAGAGCAGGGGCTCAAGGTGGGGGGAGTCTGGGACTCCATCGAGAAGTGGCACACTCAGCAGCTGTGACCTCACTGAGCTGTGACCCCACACCTGCTGAGCTCACCTAGCCAGTCAGGAGAGCCCTCCTCTCTCAGCCATGGCTGGCTGTGGGCAGGCCTGCCATCATTCTCCTCCACAGGGGACCTCACTGGGCCTTAGAACACTTTCCCCCACAGCTGCTTTCATCCCGCTAGACCAGTGGTTCTTAGACCTGGGGTCGCTAGACCAGTGGTTCTTAGACCTGGGGTCTGTTAGAGATACCCAGAGCATTTATCAGAGTGATCCCAGAGCCCCACGCCCAGAGATTCTGGCTTAATTAGTCTGAGGTAGGGCTCTGCTATTGATTGCATGCACTTGCCTGGTTTTGTTTTATTTTAAGCTTCCCTGGTGGTTCTAATATGCAGCCAGGGTTGAGAACCACTGCACTCGTTTAAATGTCACCTCAAGGAGACTTCTATCACCCTATTTGAACTACAGCCCCTCCCATGTCGGCCTGCCTTACCTGCATATTCTTCTCCATTGCACGTTTCACTCCTCACTGAAGTCCTGATACTGTTTGTGTTATCCTTATGTTCCTGTTGATCTGTTCCCACTGGAAAGTAAAGTCCTTGAGGGAGGGGTTTTGGCCTATTCCATTCACTGCGTACATCCCAGCTACCAGCACAATGTCTGGCACACAGAGTAACTGTTCAATAAAATGTGCCATCCGGTGACTGACCGAGGACAGGTCACAACCATGTGCCCTCTGCCCTATCCCCCCC